TTGAACCTCCAGCCTTCTGGTTAGCAGTCAGATGCCTTAGGCACTACGCTACCAGAGCTCCCCACCATCACTAAGAACTCACCAAACAGAGCTGCCATGAGCTGATATGGTACTTCCCTGTAGGTTAGAAAAAGGGGTCCCTATTCTGATTAAAGGAGCTCTGGTGGCTAGTGCCTAAGGCATTTGACTGCTAACCAGAGGGTTGGCGGTTCAAACCCACCAGCCACTCCATGGAAGGTAGACTGGGCAGACTACTTCTATAAAGATTTACAGTCTTGGAAACTCAAAAGGGGTCGCTATGAGTCAGAATCGACTCAATGGCAGTGAGTTTGGTTTTAGTTTGGTATTCTGATTTAGGGAGTGTCACTGGGGTGGCATAAACAGTTACACACTCAACTACTAACCAGAAGATTGGCTATTTGAACCCACCCAAAGAAAAGACTTGACAGTCTGCATAACTACAGCCAAGAAAGGCCTACAGAGCAGTTCTACTCAGACACACAGGCCGTCACCATGAGTCAGAATAGATTCAACAGCAGCTGGTTTGGTTTTTGGTTTTTCACTCCAATTAAACATAGTACCTACTACTCAGGGCACATGGTCTAGAATAGAACATGAGCTGAGTTCAGCTTCTACTTACCTTGAACACTGACCAACTATACACAACAACCCTGAATCCAAAGAAACTTCCAGAATCTGGGTGTCAGCCTCCATCAGGGGCTTTGTACACGGCTCACGCTTCCTACATCATGGTTCAGAACAGCAGCGACCAGCCTCATTTTTCCAGGCAATAGCCCTTCAGGAGCATTGAGTTATCCCTTCCCCACAGTCTTCTGGGTTGAGGGATCTCTCCTGGGGAAGTTCTCCATGTGGCTGCTCTGGGCATGATCTCCATCACCATCCTAGGAGTCTAATGACTCACTTAACCACAGCAGGGTACTGATGGGGACACAGTCGAAAATAACTGTTCTCAGATTATAGCTTCATCGCTACGGATGTGGTCTTGGGTTAACTATTGAACTAGATCTTTTCCTCATTAGGAATCCTTGGGTGGCATAAGTGGTTCAGCGCTTGACTGTTGACCAAAAAGATGGTGGTTCAAATCCACCCAGGGCACCTCAGAATAGAGCTTTGCTATCTAATTCCAAAAGGTCCCAGCCGTTGAAGACCCTGCGGAGGTCAGTTCTCCTCCAGGACACCCATCCGTCAGGTGCCAGGAGTTGGAATCGACTCGGTGGCAGTTGATTTTCTCCTCATTAGTGACATGGGATGTTTATCTCATAAGGATTTGAGGATTGAAGGAAACCAAATGCAAGCACACGCACGTTCAACAGGAGCTGTTACCGTTCTTGACTGCTACTGATGATCATCTCTTCCTGTGAGGATTAATCTGGAAAATAAAAGCTTTGTGGCTTTAAAATTCTGTTCACTAATTTGTTTCTCAAGGAGGCTGCTAACTTATAAATTGGCAGTTCAAATCCATCAACTGCTCTGTGTGGAAAAAGAGCTCCTGTAAAGATTACAACCTTGGAAACCCTAAAGGGCAGTTCCACTCTGTTCCCTAGGGGCGCTGTGAGTCAACAGTAACACTAATTGTTTCTCAGTGATTAAGACCCAAAATGGGAAGAACACTCCATGTGAATAATTTCTACTTATTTTCTTTGAAGCAATTAACATTCTACCTTATGCTCTAATTCTTTAGTTAGATCTATTTCCCTTGTTTAGGCTCTAAGGGAAGAACGTTCATTAGCTGGGTTTTAGTGAATTTTAACTATGTGCCAGATATTCCACTTGATAACTCATGTGAATTATCAACTCAGACACCCAACATGAAGGTGTAACTTTTATTTCCAACTGAAAGAGGGAGGAAATGAGACTTAATAACATTTAGGACCTTGACTTCATACATCGTAAATGCTAGAATCAGAATTAACCAAAAAACACAAACCCAAAATCCCCAAGGGCCATGCTGATACCCATAATGTTCCACTGAAGTTCCACCTGCACATGGTAAGTGTCCCCAGGTATAAACTGTCTGTACTGTGTTGCTTGGTAACCTCGATTGGTTGGGCTCCTGAAGGGATGGTCCTCAAACTGTAGAGTCTGCACCACCAGTAGCTGCATCAGCTGGGAGCTTGTTGAAATGTGAATCTTGGGCCTTGCCTCAGATCTTCTGAGTCAAGTTATTGGGGTAGAGCCCAAGAATTTGGTTGTTTTCGTTTTTTTCCTCAACATTGTATATGAGAAGTCATCCGTGTTGAGGAGGCAGTGGTGGTGTTGGTTGCTATTGAGTCCTTTTTTGACTCAGTGACCCCATGTGACAGAATGGAACCGCCCTGCAGGATTTTCTAGGCTCTAATCTTTACAGAAGCAGATCATGAGATCTTTCTCCAACAGAGCTGCGGGGTAGGTTCAAACCACCAACCTCCTGGTTAGCAGCTGAGTGCTTTAACCGTTGCACGACTGGGACTCTTTCCAGGAATTAGTTTTAACACATCTTCCAGGTGATTACAAGGCAACTTAAAATTAGGTCATTGGCCTCTACGTCCAGTTGAGATGATGACTGGAGACACTGGAGCTTCTAACAGTTTCTAAAGCTTCAAAATACGGTGGCCCTTTGTTTCTGTCTATGCACAGTATATGTTCAGAAACTGAAGAGTTCATTTTTGTTTCAATAGCCTCAAAATTAGATCTGAGTCAGTATGTTTCAAGAAGGGGCTGAGGTGAGGATTTACATTTCCAGCTATCTCCAAGATGCTGATGCAGCTAGACTAGGCACCACGCATTGACAATCACTGGCCTAGCTAATTCAGGCCAGATAGTGGAGTGAGACAATTATACAGTGTTTGGACTCTGGAGAATGACTTGGTCCTGTTTTTTTCCTGAAGGTTGGAATCTTGCTCAGCCACCATGCAGCAATGGGGTGATCTCTTCTGGGCCCTTGAAATCAACCAGTCCCTAACATGCCTGAACCTCACAGCCAATGAGCTCTTGGATGAAGGTGTGAAGTTGCTGTGTGCAACCTTGAAACACCCGAGGTGCTCCCTGAAGAAGCTGTCGTAAGTCTTTCCTCTTACGCTACAGAACATCTATGTTTTAGGTCCAGGGCCAGGGAGAGTAGAGCAAGGGTAACAGCCTGGAACAGCGAACACGCCAGGCAGTACATATAGCACCTCCTACTTATGGAAACGCCTGGTCCCCGTTTTTGGTGCCAGGCACGTGGCCCATGCATCTTGTCCTGCCCTCCTCCTTCCTGCCCCTTCACATCTGTGATCACTAGCACAGGAGAGAGGGGAAGGGAGTTTCACGAAGGGCTTTAGCTGAGGACTTGGGGCTCTGGAGGCAACCAAGCAGGCTGGAGTTGGGGAACGTTCCCACCATCTTACCATTTGTGTGATGCTCCTGCAGGTTGGAAAGCTGTCAACTTACAGAAGCCTGTTGCAAGGACCTCTCTTCTGCTTTGATCATCAACCAGAAATTGACACACCTGTGCTTGGCAGAGAATGAGCTCCGGGATATTGGGGTGTCTCTTCTCTGTGTAGGCTTGTGTGACCCCAACTGTAAACTACAGACCCTGGTGTAAGTCTGCCGATTACC